ATGCGCAGTAAGTACCAGTGGTTTCAATTTGCTTGAATATATGCTCGGTAGTTACTAGATGACTGTATCTATTGGCAATGGGTATATATGTGCAGTAGGTACCAGATTACTATTACTGTCACAGTCGATAACATTAAGCTTACTTTCGAGAAATATTTGCTCTTGTATAATAAAATGTAAAACTAATATAATACTTTATATACGTATTATTTTACCAGCCGATGTTCCAAAAACAACTATGTATCAAAACGTAACTAGTTATTTACTTAACTAGTGCTTGTTTTCCGCACGCGACCACCGTTGAAGGAACGACGCGTAGCGGAGTTTGTTCACAGTCGAGTGCGGAAAAAAACACTTTCCGCGCGTGTTAGGCATAAGTTGCCAGATTAGGTTAAAATTCCCCAGATTTGGTTTTTGGTAAAAAAAAAGGCAATTTTTCATATTTTTTTTATTAAAACAATTAAGTGGGTTACATTTGGTATAAGTACACTTTAAAATTACTTACAATATTCATCAAAATTAGGTTTTATACATGTCATTATTGTGATTTTTTACATTGTATTTTTTATATCAAAATTTATAGAAGTTTTATTTTGATTTTCAAGTATATTTTTAAATATGTGAAATCAGGGGACCCGGTAAATATTTTCCTGGGGGGGGGGCAAAATTTATCGCTACGCCTGTGAAACAAGCAGTGTTGCCAACCCTTTTGCAACAAATTTCCCTCGAAAATGTTCAAAAATTTCCTTTTTTCCCACGCTTTTTGAAATATGCTGTTACCCATTTTTTTAAAATATAAGGGATATTATTTTGCAAAAAAATAGCATTTTAAAAGTTTAGCAACAGTATTTATTAGTAAACCTATAAAAAACAACGTGTATAAATATAAAAATATATGTAAAATAAAATTATAAAACAATTTGCCATATTGATAAAAAAAGGATATATCCTTATGCTTGAAGGAAATCCTTTAGCTTGTATTAATGATTATATGTATATAAAAGCTGAAGGATTTCGTTCATGTTTTGCAAGTATAAGCATATCCTTAAGGATAATAAAAATATGTATTCTTTTAAAAATCAAAACAATAGGCCGTATTTATAAAAGAAATTTTTTTTATAAATACGGCCTATTGTTTTGATTTTTAAAAGAATACATATTTTTATTATGTAAATCCAAATAAAGTTTTGTTACATTATAAGTTATACAGCCTGTTTAGAATAAAACCGAATATATATATATATATATATATATAGGGCGTGGCCTCGCTTCCCTCCAAGGCGCGTCACAGTTGCTTGTGTAATAAACGACATGACGAAAGGTCGGGCAGGTAAAGACTTAAAAAATTAAATAATAATAATGCAAAAAATCTCATTAGCGATGCAGTCTATTTGCTTAGCTACTGTGTCGCGCGTTGGAGGGAGGCGAGGCCACGCCCCATATATATATAGATATATTCGGTTTTAGTATGAAAGAGCTGTATATATTTTTTGTATAAAATACGAAAAAAAGTCATAAAATATAAAAAAATCCGAATTATTTGATTAGAAAAAGTAGGAAAGGGTTAATTATAAATTTTCATTTTGAATTGATATAAATTTCCCTCATGGACGGCCTTTTCTAAAAATATTTCCCTTTTTCCCATTTGTCTCAATTTAAGGTAAAATTTCCCTCAAAATGGGAAATTTCCCACGAGTTGGCATCACTGGAAACAAGCGAAGTACCCTTTACAAAATATAAATATCGGCTTTGTCTTTATATCAATAAAGCACGGCCCGGAAATTACAGAAGGACTTTTTAATTCTTCGTTATTTATAACACTGTTGCCAGAGTCATTGTACAATTGTACCAATCTACAATCTAGTACATTTTGAGTCTTCTCTGGCAACACTGAAGCGAATTTAACGAGTCTTTCTTTTACTGTTTATTATTATTATTTTTGTAACTATGTTTGATAGTATCCCAGACAGCACAAATTTCCAGTAGATATCCATTAGATATCTAATGGAAATATTATGGATATGTGTGCTCTCTGGGATTGAAATTTCCAATAGTCAATAGGTATTTTTAAATTTCCCCAGATTTTCATGTTTTTTTTAAGTATTTCCCAAATCCCGAAATTGAATGAGTTTTCCCCAGAAATGGGGAAAAATCCCCAGACCTGGCAACGCTGACCGCGGTATTTCGCAACTTTCAAAATTATTTTTGTTACAATACTTGAAATAAATCATTACAATACGATATTATTTTTTATTAATCTCAATATATTATAATATACCTATAGGTATTATGTTAAACAAATAAAATTAATTAAAAAAAAAAAATACTATTTGCACCCATCTTAAATAGCGATATGCTTTTGTTTTGATTTATCTCAGTTCTATGGTTCAGAATGCTTTGTATAAAGTTTAGGACCGGCTTCCATTCAATTCTGACTTTTATTTTATATGAGTGAGTGAGAACAGTTCTCTTCGATTGTGGTATTTGTGCATTAATTTTAATTCGAATTACGATTATTCCAATAATCGGATTCAAACGATTATTTCAATAATCGGATTACGGGTTATTTTTAATTCGAATTCGCCCATCACTATAGAAAGAAGTAGAAGAAGTCTCCAAGACCATTAAGGCGTCGAGCCACCACTCGCGGCTATATCTCACACCTAATCCCTGTCACTAGAGGCTAAATGTAGCAAAGTATTCCTAAAGGTTATGACGATTAACTGTCATCTTGATTATGCAGGTCCACTGCATGTGCCATACCAAACCAACCCAAACTTAACAACCCAACCCAACCGACCCCGCCCCATTGGGCCCCTCCCGCCCCATTGAGCAATAGAGGTATAATATATCTAAGGGCAGGCTGTATTGTGACAATGCAATATATAAATAATTAATAATTATATAAATAAATATTAATGATTCATACTCTACTTTATTTCATAATTAATATTTGCACAGCATTTCATGCCGCAGAGTGTCAGATTAGGTGTGAGATATAGCCGCGAGTTCGAGCCACCAAGGAAGAAGAAGAAGAAGAGCCACCAAGAAAGGCAAGAAGAAACTTTAAGTACTTAAAAGGTAAGTTTATTATTCTTATTATTATTATTATTATTCGGGGTTTTCTATGGTTTATTGCCACAGAACGGATTGCCATAATAAAGTACCTATTGTATTTTATTGCTACTAACGGTCAATAATTGAAGGTTTTTTTTAATTGTTTTTTAAGGATGTCGACGAATGAAGTAAAACAAAGATTACGACATGATTTGATGGAAGTTGGAAGGCTTATTGAATATGGCAATATCGACAATGCAAAAGTTTTATTAACTACATCTTATAGAAATTTGGAACGAATTAAAGACCAAATTACTGAGGTTTTATATAGTTCAATTAAAACATCAATATAAGAACTTGAAAATATATATGTGGTTCATCACCCTCATCCCAATGTGGCTTTTGCTGCTGAACGCATTCCTTCAGGTAAGCCTTGTAGGCAGAGACAAGGTATCTGCTTGTAGGCAAAGCTGTCACAATTACCATTACAAAGTAATTGAACCAATTGAAGCTATTGGTGTTAGTAGTGTTAACTCAATATTAAAATTTTTGTAGTTGTTATAACAACATATATACCTACCTAGATAAATATAAACCTATATGTTTATAATTTGGTAGATTAAAGATTTTATCAAATGAATTTTAATTTGTTTTATGCTTAATATTTTAATTTAAGCATTACATACAAAAATTTTAAAATTACAAATTAAGTTTTTTCTTTCCTTAAAAAATTGAGTTAACACCTTCTTGCAACAATGGCTTCAATTACCAATTGGTAGGCCATATTACAGCCGGCAATTAATTAATGACAAGGCATCCAAAAAACTGCACAAATTACCAATTACTTTAGTTTTTTAAAATTACTTGCAATTATTAATTACCCCTAAAAGGAATTGAAAATGTTTAATTGCTTTTGCTAGTAATTCAATTAATTTATTTTGCTTTAATAGTATATTATGTATTAAGTTTGATAAACGCCATTTTATACACGAATTTAATTTAGGCACGAGTGAGCCTGCGAGCGAGTTCTTAAATTAATGAGTGTATAGAAAACTTTATAAACGAGGTGCAATACTATACTTTTTCTACGACAAATACTTATTATTATCTTAAAATAATTTAAATCAAAAATTTGTATAAAGCGCCATCTATGAAACAATAGGAGAAACTGTGTGTCACCGTCAAATGTCAAATTTTTATATTTTATAAACACAGATTATAAAGGTTATAAATCGAAATGTATTTCTTGAAAATATAATTTACTTTTAAGAGAAAGCAGTAAACCTAGTTGCGACTTATTATCTTTAAAACATGTGTAGATCATTAAAAAAAGCAGAACAATTTCAAACTAAATTTTCATAAACTAAAAACAGCAACATAAGTTTAATTCCCATTTAAAAACCAGTAGGTAGAAGTCAGACTAAAATCAGGCGTGATTTTTGAAATCATACTCAGGGATGCCAGATTCTGTCAAAAAAATCGTGAGATTTTGTTTGAACATACCTAAATGTAAATTTAAATAAAATCACGATTTTTTTGACAGAATCTAGCATCCCTGAGTATTACTTCAACGATTTTTAAATTATATCTGGGTACGTACTAGCTTTTAAAAGAGAATTGATTATTTTGTGATAATTGAAATACAATTACACAATTGAATTACTTATAAAGAAATTGAATTACTTTAAAGGAATTAACTTATTACAAAGGAATTAAATCATTTCAAAAACAATTCAATTACTCAAATATATTAAATACAATTACATAAATACAAGTTTATATTTATCTTAAATTCTTGGTAGGTGGAATAAAATTTAGATAATTCCAATATATTCAAACAGGTGTGTGCAATAGGTCTTAAAAGCGGCCCAGTTAAACATGTAAATTGTAGTATAATATTATTTAAGGGCATCTCATAAGAGACTGTTACAAAAAAAAGGAACCTTCTTAGGTCTTCTTTAGTTAAAGATCTTATATAATTAAGCAGAAAATATATAACTCTTTCTTCATCATTCCCTACATATTCAGGAGGCGTTATTACACTAATAACTTTTTCGGGTGTTGGACATTGCATAGAATATATTTGATCTATCATGTTTATGGTAAGTTTTGACCAAAATCTTTCAAATGAGAGTAGAGGAATTCCCTTCCGAACCTCGGCAATTAAAGTTGACGGTTTCTCAATAAAAATTTCCTTTGCTATTGTAATAATTTGTTCTTCGATTTCTTCTTTTTTCGGTAATTCAAATAAGTTATAAGTATTGAATAAACCAGTCAACTGGTCTATTTCCTGGAGGTTTAGATCACTATATCGGTTTAATGCCTTTCTTACCAATTTAAATTCAAACACTGTTATGTATTTTAAAAAATCGTTGATTAATGTTGCATTTTCAATTTTTACATTTGAATCAGCAATTTGTAGTAAAAATGAGCTGCAATACTTGGCAGGTAAAGTTTTTGTTATACATAAAGAATGACTCATTATTGAGCCAATAATTTTATACTTTTCTTTTTCTTTCCTTTGACGGTGAAGTGGCATGCAGGGTACAAGGCAATGCTCCCCAGCAAAGTATTCGCCTTCAATTAATCTATAAAATGCGGCAAATAGTTCTTTTGTCAATCCGCCTTGATCTACGCCAGCTTCGTCAAAAAATGTTACTATGATCTGCTTTTGAGTAATGTTTGGGTCTTCATAAAATTCAAACATCTGTTCGATGATCCTGTCTCTTCTTATTTCAAGATATACTATATCAGGGTCTTCCACTAATTCTGGAAACTCTATAGAGCCTAGATTGCCCTGGATGTCTTCATCATCTTCGCTGTCACTATACAAATTTTGTATGCTATTTTCCCGAGGTGGTCTTCTGTACGACAGTGCCGGAGATCTATTAGTTGAATTACGTGTTATATTTACAGCTTCAGATCTAGCATTGACCGTGTTGCTAACACGGCTCTGGTCATGCCCTGTTAGACCATTTCCATTATTCCCACCATTTACGATATTCGTAATGTTAGTTTCAGGAAGGTCTCGATTAGGAACCAAAATCATCATGCCCTGACATATAGCATCCTTTAGCTGTTCCACGTTTTCAATTGATGCACTTAATTTTGTAATTTTTCTTTGCCTGTTTAATTTGGCATAAGTGAATCCTGTCAATTGTAAAGGAGCATTGGGATATAAACTGTAAATATATTGCTCCAGTTCATTTAAGGACCAGTTTCTATTTATTAAGGGTGATTCTGCAGAAATTCCTGCAAATATTCCGGTTAGAATTTAATAGAGTAAGATCCCAGAGCCGCCAGACCCAAGTCATTTTAGAACTGCTAAGATTTAGTAAGTAGTTAAAAACGTATGCGTACTTGGCAGCTTGAAAGCGGGGCCCTTTTACAGATAACAGGCACTGAAGGTACAAAAAAATAGTGCTTGCCTACGTTAAATTAATACTGCTGGTTTTAATAAATGTTTTACACCATGATATTAAAAACCAAATTTCACTATTGCCAGACGCATTCCATTGGTCCTAACTTCATCCAGACGCTTTAAAGCTCAAGAAAAAAGGGGTGAACCTACATTATAGAAGTATTCTTGAATTTTACATTTATTATTTTTGTGATTATTTTAAGACCTTTTGTAAGCTGCTTACAAAAGATCTTAAAATAGTCACTAAAATAATATATATAAAATTCAGGAGTACTACTATAACGTAGGTTCCCCCATTTTTCTCGAGCTTTAAAGCGTCTGGGGGAGCTTAGGCCTTTCGGATTGGTCTGGCTGCTTACAAAAGGTCTTAAAATAATCACCCAAATTATATACAGGGTGTTTCATAATATATGCGCAGGACTCCAGGATATGATAGCTCATCCAAAAAGATGAAAAAAGTCGCTATTAACTTACCCTCTAAAATGCACAATTTTCGAGATACAGGGTGTTGAAATTTTAGAAAAAAATTCGTTTTTTTTCGAATATCTCCGGAACCGTTTATCGTACAAAAAACAGCTTTTGTAAGCATTTTCTACTCAAAATAAGCTATGTTTTGTGCCAGAAAAAAAAATTTTTCCTCATAATTGGTGGAGATTTTGAAGGGGCAGCGGGTGTTTTTCTCCTCAACTTCTACGCCCCTGAAAAAAGTACGGTTTCGAGAGGCCCATTCGAACCGCCAATGTTTTCTACACAAAAAAAGGTACTCTTGGTCATAAGCTCTAAAGTTGACCGTTTTCGAGAAAAATCAACTTTTATGTTTAAAAACATGGTCAATTTAAAAAAAAATATTTTTTTTTTACTAATTAAACAAAATTAATTTTAACGTTAGAACAAGTAACAAAACCAAACCATAATTGCAAAATAAAAAATGATTCAAAAGTTGTCTTTGCTAAATTCTCCAAACCGAACATTTCAGCATTTGTGTAAAAAATCATTTTTCGTTTTTTTTTTTAATTTTACAATTATCGTTTGGTTTTGTTACTTTTTCTAACGTTAAAATAAATTTTGTTTAATTAGTAATAAAAATTTTTTTTCAAAAAATTGAACATGTTTTTAAACATAAAAGTTGATTTTTCTCGAAAACGGTCAACTTTAGAGCTTATGACCAAGAGTACCTTTTTGTGTAGAAAACATTGACGGTTCGAATGGGCCTCTCAAAACCGTACTTTTTTCAGGGGCGTTGAAGTTGAGGAGAAAAACACCCGCTACCCCTTCAAAATCTCCACCAATTATGAGTAAAAAAAAATTTTTCTGGCGCAAAACAGCTTATTATGAGTAGAAAATGCTTACAAAAGCTGTTTTTGTACGACAAACGGTTCCATAGATAATTGAAAAAAACGATTTTTTTTCTAAAATTTCAACACCCTGTATCTCGAAAATTGTGCATTTTAGAGGGTAAGTTAATAGCGACTTTTTTCATCTTTTTGGATGAGCTATCACATCCTGAAGTCCTGCGCATATATTATGAAACACCCTGTATATAAAATTCAGGAATACATACTACTATAACGTAGGTTCCCCCATTTTTTCTTGACCTTTAAAGCGTCTGGGGGGGCTTGGGTCCTTTGGATTTGTCTGGTTGCTTATAAAAGGTCCTAAAATAGTCACTCAAATAAAATATGTAAAATTCAGAAGTACTACTATAACGTAGGTTCCTCCATTTTTTCTTGACCTTTAAAGCGCCTGGGGGGGATAAGGCCCTTTGGAGTGGTCTGGCTGCTTACAAAAGGTCTTAAAATAATCACAAAAATAATATATGTAAAATTTAAGAATACTACTATAACGTAGGTTCAGCCCTTTTTTATGAGGTTTAAAGCGTCTGGCGGAAGTTAGGACCAATGCCTCTGGCAATAGTAAATGTTGGTTTTTAATAACATTGTGAAAAACATATATTAAAACCAGCAGTATTCATTTAACGTAGGTAAGCACTATTTTTTTGTACCTTTAGTGCCTGTTATCTGTAAAAAGGCCCCGCTTTCAAGCTAACAAGTACGCACACGTTTTTAACTACCTACATATTAAGACATTTATAGAAAAAATATTAGCAGTACTAAAATGACGTAGGTCTGGCGGCTCTGGGATCTTGGACAATAATGTTTATGTTTCAAAAGTAAACTACAATTTTTTATGACCTTTTTTTTACTTACCCAAACCACTGTTGGTTAAATGTTGAATTTCAAATTGAGAAGGCCCAAAATCGGCATTAGACCGTCTCAACAGCAATATTTTCTTTTTCCATATTCGATTGCGAGTTGGAGTTCTTCTAGAAGACGTACCAGATTGTCGTCTTCGAAAAGAAGCCCTTGTATGACTCACCACTTCTTGAAAATCATCTGTGTCGTCATCAAAAGCTGTCATAGCAGCATTTAAAATTGTTCTTACAGCCCTAGTTCCTGTATTCTCCGCCATAACAGTGTCCGGATGTCGAAGCACCTATTTCAATGCAAAATGAAACTATGGTTTTTAAAAACGTATATATGCTTAAAATACTCATAATTTAAACAGTTATGGCTTTTGTTGTTGCTCCTTTAGCTTATGAAAACAGCAGTATACCTACTGCTGTATACAACCATTGTTAATAATAATGAGGCTCATTATTATTATTATACGGTTTTATTATTGTATTGTTTTTCCTTCATTATAATATATATTAAATCAATACCATTTTGTCAAATTATGGTAACCCCCTTAAGGGGGTTACCAATAATTATTGGAAATTAAACGGACAAAGTTATTTTTTAATGGATTTTAAGGTAACTTTGTTCTGAAATAAAATGGTATAAAATAGTATGTCTGACTATGATAGTCCAAAATACTAAAGTGTATATGTAACCTGAGAATTGGTTTGTTCTATCTCCCAAAACTTAAAGAGAAACAAATAGCAGTTTAAAATTTAATTTATATACAAATTAAGATAGAATCTCCCAAAACCCAAACCTGGAAAAACAGCTTTATAAAATTTCATTTGTATATAAATTAAACTTTAAACTGATATTTGTTCCTCTTTAAATTTTGGGAGATAGAACAAACCAATTCTCAGGTGAAGTATGTATATGTAGGTATAGGTACCTTTTTATTTCAGTTCAGTTACTTTAAAAATCCATTAAAAAATGACTGGTTTCAATTAAGTTCCATTAAGGGGGTTACGCCCTGCTTAAAAAACCCCATAGAGACTTATATACAATAATCACCCTATAGAAACACCATACATTCCGATACAAATATCTATCGGTTTGAACAGGGTCTCTGTGTGGTATTTTAAGCAGGGCGATAATTTGACAAAAAGGTATTGATATGAAGACCATAAATATAATCTATGATGTAGTCTAAGCATCTTAATGACCATTTCAAAAAAGCATAATATTTGTTTATCTCTGATTTGTATTTAAACATTTCTTGTGACAGGAACGGCGCCTAATTTATATCAATGAAAAATTATTTACCTTAAGTAGCAATAAAATGCAATAGTTACTAAATTATGGCAATATACACTTACTAGAAGATTCTATATTTTAAAAATGTTTTTTCTTTGTCACCAACAAGTTATAGGTAAATTTACAATGGATTGTGGGTAAATTAAAAAAACCGGGAATCGCGCTCACATTATGTGAGTCACATAGGTCACATGGTAATGTATTATGGCGAGTTTAAACTACCTACCATTGGAGTACAATTGAACTACCCGATCTTTAATATTTAATATTTAACTTATAACATTTAAAATGCACAAGTTTCGCACGCAGTATATTTTGTTTATATGTTATAAAAGTACAATTTTTAAGCATTTTCATAGAAATACTGTTGCATTTAAAATTTAAGCCTGAGATAGATTTATTTCCTTCCTCCCTTTCTTCCGTAAAACGAAAACCGTAGTGCTGTTTATATTGTATTGTATTGTATATTAGGGTACGGGAATCTATAACCAACCCTACGCTTTTCGTATTGTTCATCTTTTACGGGAGGAAGGAAGGAAGGAAATCTATAAATCAGGCTTTAATGTTTGCATATTGTTTATGTTTTACGGTCTGGTAAAAGAAATAAATGCACCTAAGATCTAGGTCTTTAAAAATCAGTGCTTTTAAAGCAGTATAAAAATCAGTAGTTTTTTATAAATGTGAAAAATGTTTGGTATTATGTTTGGGTATATACATTAAAAAAGACATGTTTTTAAAAATGTTTTATAAAACTATAGTTTATTACATATTTATAGTTATTACGTATTTCAACTCATATGTATAATAATAAAAATATGGTAACTAACCTATACCTATAATATAGGTTAGTTACCATATATTATATATGTACCATTATCCACACCAAAAACGTGCACCTTGAAATTTTAATAAACACGGGCCTAAAGGTAAGGTATTTACGTAGATGTATAGTATACATTGTATACCTATTAACTAGAGTGTCTTAGGCGCATGCTCATTGAGCCTGCGTAGAAGGATTCTACCCGGTAAGCATATACTTACCACCTTGTGGTAAGTATATGCCAGTAAGCATTGCTCACGCCATCTGTTCTGTGACCTACGCACTATAAATACCGGCAAATTTAAAATTGTACGGCTGACCCCGCCCACAATGTTAAGTTGCCAAGTTTCTAATTGCATTTTCATTTTTTATTTCATTTTATTGTTTCTAATTGTATTTTAAATATTTTAAAGTTTTAAGCCTGAATTATAGATTGCCTTCCTTCCTTCCTTCCTTCCTCCCGTAGAAGATGAACATTACGTAATTGTCACCATTAAATTTCCCGTCTAGAAATGTTTAATACTTTGTGATAATATTTTGCAATTATAGTAATAAAAAAAATCAAAGAATAAAATAGTTTCTTAACAAAATCATATTTTGAAGTTATTTTAATATTTTATTTCCACCTTCTTAGTAAATAACATTTTATAGGTTAATTTTGTTGTTTTTGTATCTAAGTAAACGATACATTATGGGAACAGACCTGTAATATTTTACAGGCCTGCATATAAGACCTGTAAAGTTTTACAGGCTTGTAGAAAAGCAGTTTATGAAATGAAATGTCACTTTTGACAAATTAATTAAAATTTTAAATTTGAAAATCGTTATCTAAAGGTGAAAATAAAAGTTTGTACTTGTCACGCTTTGCAATTCATCTTTACTAGGCTCACTGGATTATGGGGTTTGCTCCTGCGTCGCTCACCCCACAAAGTTCCAGCTCGCCTGTAAAGATTCATTTACAAAGCTTGACACGTAAATAACTATTAAAGTATCAATAATTGTTAAGTTTAATTAAAATTAATAACGGGCAATGTTAATGGTGACAATTACGTCAAAAATGTTTATTTAAATCGTAGTGCCAGTTATAGATTCCCGTACCGTAAGGACGGCATTCCTTCCTCCCGTAGAAATTTTTAAGTATTATCTTTCACCGTAAAGGTCTTTGACATGACCAATCACAGTGCTTGTTATGGACATGCGCTGTAGGGCATAGATAATAAAGCGCGTAGGCACAAAATATTTAAAATATGTACATGATTGTTTAGTATTATTTAAGATAGGTGTTCAGTTTATTAAATAATTTGTGTCTCTAAATACGATATTTAGATATTGTTTATGATCAATGTCTTTCATTTTTAGAAACTTTGCTTTGTAAAACTAAAAATAAATACCATATGGATTTAATATTCTGTTAGTTTTACACGCTTTAACACCACACGACATTCTTTTATAGAAAAAAACACGTATTTATAAAAAACTGTACGATGCTCTACATCAGAAAGTCCAACATGAATTCCAATGTTAAATTTGATATAAATTTATTGTAAATTAAGACCTTAAATTGTTTCATATAATAATCAATGCCGAATTCAGCTACCGCTACCTTTACCGCTGCCTTTACCGTTACCTTTAAAACTATACATACATTGTTTTCAGAAAGCGATAAACTGACAGTTGCATAACCTCAATTATTTGCACAATAATAAGTGGTAGGTAGTGGCGCCATCTCTGGTTATACCCCTCTACTGTTTTGGTACGGTACTACACCAGCGCCCTCTTATCTTAGGAAGATTCTTGTTTACATGAAGTTCGGGCTCCTTGTGTAGGCTCCATGTCCCGTACCCTTAGGACGGCATTCCCATATACAACAGTTATATATTGGCATTCCATCCACCCGTAGAAATTTTCATATTTTATCTTTTACCGTAAAGGTTTCATGTCGAACCAATCACAGTACTATAGACATGCGCGAAGGTACCAAATATTTAATACAAATGATTATTTATAAACAGTTTACTATATAAATAGTTACTATAGTAATATTAAATATTAAGATAGGTGTTCAGTTTATTAAGTAATTTGTAAATATTTATACAACTGATATTATAAACTATAGTATTATATAGGATAGGTGTTCAGTTTATTAAGTAATTTAAATTACTTAATAAACTGAACACCTATCACAATTGTGTCGCTATTTAGGATATACCTAACTATAGGTATATTTAATATACATATACATATATACATATGTTTATTAAAAATGGCAGTTTGGCAAGTTATCAGTTATAATTTTAGCTAAGCTGTTCTAATGCTGTTATTATTGTGTAGTATTAATTAATACTCCGTAGTTTCCCGGTCTTGGTAAATTGGGCGAATCTTCCAACGTCTTGTTCTATGTTTTTTTTCCTATAAGCCGCAAGTAAAATTGTGACCACTGCATTTGCATATAAATGTTTGTTTTCCATATTTAAACACTAGTAACAAACGACAGAATCCCTAATAATATTATGAAATACACAGAGTGGGTAAAACGCAGAATATAAACAAAAACAAGTGTCAACCATTTTAGGTATTATCGCGCATGTTCACGGAATGCTATACGAGAATATATAAAATACCTTTTTACAAGACGTACAAATCGTACGGGCGGCACTACGGGAGGACTAAGGAAGGCAATATATAAATCAGGCTTTACGTCTCTTGCGTCAATCTATAATCAACAACAACGGCTTGTGTATTCTTAAAGGTTAACGGTCAGTGGGGAGAAAGGTAGGAAGGCAATCTATAATCCAGACTTAAGAGAGATATCTCTCCACATGGACTGCGTATTCGACTCACAAAACTACACTCTTGAGAGAAACATAGCGATAGCGGTGCCAATACCGTACTCTCGAGTACTACTCGAGAGATCGAAATTTTTCAAATCGAAATCCTATGACATCAAATCTCTATGACATCTTAAACTCACGAGATCGAAATTTATATGGCAACGCCGCACTTCTTATGTCAAATACAAATTTATGGATAAGGTGCGATTCACACTTTTCATAAAATGTTGATTGGACATCTGCCAGCCAAAATTCTAGAAAGAGATGACTACTGGCACTACTATCCTTTGAATAAAAAACCTTTTTCTAATTCAAAGCTACTAT